TACGAGTATATTGTTGAATTAGCGTGGTATAATTTGCAAACAGCCCCAGGCGGATCAGAAAAAAACGGAAGGCCACTTTAAAATATTGACAGATACCCTATAATATTGCCATTGGACATGTGTCGTAAAAAACATCGCAAATATGACAACGTGTGCCCATTAATAATGCAGTTTATGAATTAAATAAAGTTTTTTTTAAGTTTTTTTAAGTTTTTGTATTTTTTTAAGAATGATCAACTATAAGTTAATAAAATTTAATTTATATATGATTCTAAACTTTAGTAACAGAAATATTTACGACAATAAATTTTATTTATCCAGACGACTATATAACTGAGGTTGTTCAACAGACTGAAAATTTTCTTGAGATATGAATTACATCTTGTTTTATTAACATATGACATTCATCTTGTTTTATTAACATACATCTTGTTTTACAGTTTATGTACAAAATAAAAAATGGACTATCTCCGCCGATATTTCAACCCTATTTTAGCGAAATAAGTCGTAAATACCGTACTAGATTCTCATATAACAACTTTGTCATCCCAAAATTTACATTAAAGTTAAATTCATACTCAATCCACTATCAAAAGAAATACACTTGAACAGTTCATATCTGAATCAAAGCGTTTTTTATTATCTACGGACTTAAATTTTCTTTTTTCTTTTTTAGTAAAAAAATAAACTAGCACAATTTATTTCTTTTATTTGTTTTAACTTTTACTTGTTCTAAATTTATTTTACTAAACGAATTTATATATAAACAGTTATATCAATTGTAAAACGTAGTTTTTCACATTTTTACATATTTTATCACAAACAATTCATCACGATTTTATATATCTTGTTGTAAAAAACGACCTGTAATGAAGTCACTATGGGGCTCGGTAATAAGACAAACTGATGTCTTCTTCTTGCTCCAGCCATATGTTTAATTATTTATGTTATTTTATAAATTGTAATTTTCTACGGCAAAATTAAATAAATAATAAAAAAAAAATTAGTGTTAGTTCGGATAAAACAGCAAAGAAATGGATGAAAAAATTTGGAGCTGTAAACGGGAAAGCGGAATAGTATTGAAAATTAACTGATCGAAAAAATGATTAGTATCGAAAAATAACTGACCGAAACTCATTTTAATGATTAAGATCGAAAATGTGATTTTCAGATTAATATCGAAAAATTTTTATATCGAAATTCACAAATTTGGAACAATATCGAAATCAATAAAAACAGAATAAGATCGAAAACTCATTTAACTGATTAACATCGAAAATGTGATTTTCTAATTAATGTCGTAAAGTTTTTATATCGAAATTCACAAATGTGGATCAATATCGAAAACAATAAAAAAGGAATAAGATCGAAAACTCATTTTAATGATTAACATCGAAAATAAGATTTTCTTAAAACAATAAAACAATAAAATCCGAAAACAATAAAATCAGAATAAAATCGAAAACTCATTTTAATGATTAACATCGAAAACGTGATTTTCCGATTAATGTCGAAAACAATAAAAACGGAATAAGATCGAAAATTTTTAATTGTCAAAAATTCTTTTTAATGATTAACATCAAAAATATGATTTCATGATCACACTTTTGTTTTATAAAAAACTAGTACTAGGAGAAAATCTTAATAAATTTTTGATACTAAGTCACTTTTCAATAAGAAACTTATTAAAGAGTTCGATGAATATTTCGTAACTTTTCACCCCAATATCGCATCAGCTTAACAAAGTTAGCATTACCTACAATGGAGAACAGCAGTTTAAATGAACAGTTAATTTGCAAGTGCAATAAAATTCCGTTCGAATCAAAACTTAAAATTTAAGAAACTTTTAAGAAACTCAATATTCTAAAATGTCGTTAGAGAACTTATCAAAAAATTATAATGAAACTGGAGAAAGAAAAAATTCAAATGTGTTTTGGTCTGGTGATTTTGGATACACTAAAGATAAACTTTATAAAGACAAACTGCATCTTAAGTGTCGTTTTTTTACAAGAATGAACTGCAAAGGCAGAGCTTTTATTCATGAAGATAAACTTCAGGTTACAACTGTTCACAGTTGCAGTTCAAGAGAAACGGACTTTGAAGTGCTGCTTGCTAAAAGTACCATAAAGAAAAATGCAGAAGCAACATCTAAAGACTTGCGCCTAATTTTTCAAAACACTTTGAGTGAGTTTCCTGCAGTTGTTTCTGAATCTGTTAGTTTTCGTCAAAGTATCCCAAGTCTTCAGAAAAGGAGAAGGCTAAATGAGCCTTCAAACTCTAAATCACCTAATGAAGCTGCTGAAGTTCTGAACAACAAAGAGTGCCATCGCTATGGAGACATTTTCTTGGGATCAGTTGCAAAACAGGATAACGTAGCATTGCTGTTTGGGCATATGCTAGTCATCAGCAAGGCAAAATCCGCCAAAATGTGTTTTGTTGATGGACCATTTAGGTATTTATACGTATGCATTTAACTTTTTAAAAAAAATATATGTTCTAGAAGAACATATATTTGTCTAGGGGGCTGTCCATTAATTACATCAACAAACTTTTAGCTATTTTTACATTACCCCCTTCCCCATGTCAACAATTTGTTAAATTTCCAGAGACGCTTCTTTCCCCTATAAAGTTACGTCAATTTTTGATAACCATTCTTCCCTAAATAAAAACGCTGCGCTAAAAACGAAGGCAAATTTTTCTGTTTTTGAGTAACGAAATTAAAAAATAAAGCAACATTGTTGATGTCAACTTTACTTGACCTCCTCCCCTCACCCTTAGCAAAAATTTTCAAAAAAAATTAGACACCTTCTTCCTTATTTTTTTACGTTATTAATGGACAGCCCGTAGACGAAAAAAGTGATATATTAAAAACGTTAGGTAGAACACTTTTATTTACAGTTGTAAATTATAATTACATTTATTGTACTTCCAGCATGACACCACGCATGGAGAAAAGTAAGTGGTATCAGCTCTTGATATTTTCTGTTGAGTATTCAACAGTACTTGAAGATCCAATTCCAGATGAGGATCAGATGAATTTTGATCCTGATAACCCTAACCTTTGGGGTTTAACTTTTTTTAACTAGGTTTTTACTTGTCTAGCTAGGTTTTAACTTGTTTAACTTGGTTAAAACTAAAAAGATGAAAACGAGTGCTAAAACATTTTGGGCCGGGATCATAACTTGTTACTTAATTATTATTTTAATGATACGTTACTCGATCAGTCAAATTATGAAAACTGTTTTTTTGAAATGTTTGTTAAAATTTAGTGTGTAGAAGTCATATCTGTAAAATATTTAAATCTACTTGTTTTTTTTTTATTTTTCCAAATGCATTTTGCAATTCTCATACTATTTTTGTTATTTTTGTGCCCAAATCTTAGTTTCATAAATTTCTTCAGTTTTCAACCTTTTCATAATTTGGTAATCAACTTCGTATGTCAAGGTAACAAAACGTTAAAGTTATTAAATACACTGTTTAATTGTAAAATTATTGTTTTTTTTATAAAATGTATAAAAGTATTAATTTAAACAGTCATTTAAAGTTCTTTTAAAATCATTGTTATACGATATTTATGTTTTATAAAATGAGTTTTTAAAATCATTTTATTATTTTTAAAAACCCTTTTTTGCGTTACCATTAAATAAAATGTTTAAAAAAAGTTGTCACAAACTTATTATGCCAAATGTTGGTTGTTTCCTAATTATTGAAATTCCGTTTACTATAAAATGTTTTTGGTATTATATTCTTAGTTTTGAATAATAACGGTCTTGTTTAAACGCATCAACGTTTTTGCTTTTGTATAAAAGCAAAAACGATGATGCGATTCTTAAAAACGTTAAATTGCTGAAAACCTCAAAAATCATAAAATAAAAAGCTTTAATTTTGTAGTTAAAAAGTTAAATAAATTTTCAACTAATAATAATAAAACGATAAGTTTGTTATTTTTTAACTTTTGATTTTTAGTTCAAACTAATGAAGTTTGTTTTGTTTTCATTTTACATTTTTTCTAATAATGTTAAAGTGCCTAGTACAGTAGCGTTTAAGTTAGCTAGAAGATTACAAAAAGTCTATAGCTATTTGATTGCTACATATCGCAGCTTTTTTTTAGCTATCTATATTTTATCATGGAATGTCGATAGTTTTTTTATACAGTTGTAGTTTCGGCCCACTGTTCAGGACTTGTGGAAATAAAATGTTGGTAAGGGTAGATTCGCGTGGTCAGTTAACTATAAGTTAACTGACCACGCGAATCTACGCGAGGTAATAGTTACTATACTAAACATTTTAACTTTATATATATGTCTATATATATATATATATATATATATATATATATATATATATATATATATATATATATATATATATATATATATATATATATATATATATATATATATATATATATATATATATATATGTATATATATGTCTATATATGCCTATGTCATCCTCCTTATCAGATGACTCATCTGAACTATTTACATTGTCAAACTCAAATGAAATATCATTATTACAACTTGCATTACATTCATAATCATCGCCCTTATCAGATGACACATCTGAACTAATCTCATTGCTAAATTCTAACGAAACATCATTATTATAACTTGCATTATATTCATAACCATCAAAAATTTCGTTTTCAACTGCTTTCATGTTATCTTATTTTATCTTATGTGAAGCCACTATATACATTTCCATACTCATCAAGAGTCCTTAGAATTGGATATTATCAGAAAAATCGCACACATGTTTGTAATGTTACACCCGTTCGAAAATGTATTATGATTTTTTGTAGGGAAAACTACTTTTTAATTATCCCATTGGTCTGTAAATTAAACTAATGTTAAAGATATTTACAGGACTTGATTAGTTTTTTTAAATTTTGTAAACATTTTTGTGTTGATTTAAAATATATCCATTCGTATGAAGTCTTTATACTATTTTAACTTCAATATCTGCATATTTTCTAAATAATAAATGTATAAATTTTGTTTCAGATGAATTATATTGTTTATCTGTACTGTGACAGTGAAGCTCTAGAATTAAAAAATTGTGACATAATAATGCCAGAGAAGCTAAAAACTTGGTCTATGGATGATTGGAGATCTCGTGGTCAAACATTAACGGATGACGATCTTCAAATAAAGGCAATACATAAGGATTGTGTAAATGCGGCATGCATATTACAGATAAGTATTTTATACACCTGTTGGAATTGAAAAATAAGGAGTGTTTCAGTAGTAACATTTTTTTAAAGTAAATTAATCTACAAAAGTGTATTTTATTTTATACGTTTTAGTTGGAATTGATACAAAATCACTTGTTCAAAAAATGCAAAACTTTGTATTGAAAAAAAAATTTACCCCTAAAAATGGACTCCTCAAACTTATTGATCGTGTGGGTCAAAACAAAAGGCAGAGCATTCCACCTTTGAATGTGAGTATTTTTAAACTAACTCAATAAATTATTTTTATTGTAATAAAAATAATTTATTGAGTTACTACCTAAGTTACTCAACACATTTTATGCAATGCACAAAGCATTGCATAAAATGTGTTGAGTAACTTAGGTAAAGTTGAGTTTATTATAAGCTGTATTTATTATGATTTCTTTTGTCCTTTTTTAGTAACAGATTTTTGTATGTCAAGGATTAACCATTTTTGGATATTTCCAGAATTCTGGAAATTTTTTGTAACTTTTTTTTTGCTGGATATCTAAAACATTTTCTATACTTAAAAGTTTAAATACATCTATTTGTTTTATAAGGTTTTTCACTCATCACTCATAAAAAAATAAAGAAAAGTTTGAAAAAAAAAAAAGAAAAAACTCAGCTATAAACAAAAATAAGAGGAAAATAAGAGAAAATATTTTCCGGGTATTTTACCCAAACAAATTTCCGGATTTTTAAAATATTGCCTGGACGATCTATGATATGTATAAATTATTGTATAAAGCTATGATTGTATGTATATTAAAATTGTTATTTTTTTAGCATATTCTTACTGCAGAATCAGAAGTAGAAATTGATTTTAATACAACAAAAAAAAAAACAAAAGAAAACTCCTTTAAGTCAACAAAACAGAAAGAGAAAAAAAAATGTATCTTTGAACAACCTCCTTTACCATCATTACCATTGTGGGAGCCACCAAAGCTTCCTGATTCCGATTCAGCATACATTTTAAAATTTTGTCCCATTCGTAAAAATAATAATTTTTTTTGTTTCATTTTTATGGTTTATTTGCTTTTTTAGTTACCATTTTTAAATTAAAAAAAAAGAAAAAAGTATAATATAATCAGAATATTGTGAATGTATTTATAATCATTGTTAATCTTTTTTAGAACTTTTTGTCCGTCTCTGCCTCAATGGATCAAGTAGATGACTCGCCAGTTACAAAGATTGTTTTTCCATCAGAAATGCAGTCTGTTTCACAAGTTCAACCGTTACTGCATTCATCTTCTTCCTTTTCTTTACCATCTCAAAAAACTGGGATAGACCAAATAAATAACTTTATTCGGAAAGCAAATGTTGAACCCAATACTGTTGAAGGCATTCAATTTATAATGAACTCCGTGTACAGAAAACTATGTGGGTTGGAAACAGAAATGCGTTCCATGCGTTCAATTTTAGACACTAATCATGGTAATAAAGAAAATAATTATATAGATTATTTACCAGCTTATTCATTATATTCAGTTAAAGAGTTTGACTCACTAGAAAATAAAATAATTAACTCTAATGATAAAGATATCATTTGCAGAAAGTTAAAGCAAATTGGTGGGAGAAATGTAAGTGACTTTTAAAAAATGCTTTAAAAACTTGTTTAACAGACAAGCTGTGCTGCAGCATTAATCGAACTGATGCAGATAAAAAGCGTAAGTTTATAGGACCAGTCGAAAGTTTGATTTTTGATGCAGCTTACTGTTTATTTCCAACTGCCACTGAATCCAGTATGACTACAATAATTGCGAAACACTTGAAAAAGTCTAAAGTTCGTAATTTTGCTGCAAGAAAGAGAAGTTCTTTTTTAACAAGTGATATACAAATACACAGTCCTGTTAGAAAAAAAAATAAATTTAAACACTGACTCATGTAGTGATTCCAGTTAACTTATTTTTTTTGTTTATTTGTTCTATTATTTTTTATTGACTTTTTTTTTTTTTTGATATTTTATTTGTTACAACTTTTTTAGCAATTATTTTCGAAAATTGATAAAGATTTAAAAAAAAACTAAAATTTGACAGAAATTTTATTCTATTATATTTTTAAAAATCTTTTGAAATTATTAATTTAATTTACATTATTAGGCAAAATCATTTAGTTGTTAATGACTTTTTATTTTTCAAAAGTAATTTATAACTTTTCTTTTAACATTTTATAATGGCTTTAACATTTATAACTTTTTATGGAAACAAGTATTAACATTTTGTATTTAATTTGTTATAAATGCAATCTTATTTTTATGGTTATAATTCACTCCCCTGAAAAAGATAGCACGCGATTCTTTGAGCATATCTTCTAACCTAGCCGAGATTTTCTAGCCAAATCTATGTTATTGTGGTAACGACGTAATGCTAGCTATTCGCTAGCTTTTTTAGCTAGCAATCCTCGTGGCCATACCGCTGTCTTTATTGTAACGACTTGTCGCTAACTTGTTTAGCTAACGCATCGCTAGCTTATATAGCTAGCGATCCTCGTGGCCAAATCGCTGTCCTTATCGTAACAATTTAGTGCTAGCTATTCGCTAGCTTATTTAGCTAGCGATCCTCGTGGCCATATCGCTGTCTTTATCGTAACGAATATCGCTAGCTTATAAAGCTAACGATCCTCGTGGCCAAATCGCTGTCTTAATCGTAACGAATATCGCTAGATAGATCATATCCAATACCTGCTTGAGGGCACCTCTTTGTTATGCTTTCAGTTAATACTCTGATGTATGGGCAATGATTGTCGTGGGGCATCGGGAAAAGGATTTTTTTATCGCGTCTGTAGTGGAAAATATTGTCAACATGCGGGTATACCAGTAGTGTAGAGACCGGCTCCCTGCCGCATTAGTGCTACTTTTGTTTACTTTGGCGGGGATGGAAAGATATTAAAAAAGAGGAGGACTCCACCTTTTTGTATCTCTTTATTTTTTGAGATTTTACTTTATCTTTTAGACTTTTCTTTGACTTTACTTTATCTTTGATTAAATTTTTTTTTTGGTAGGGTGGTTTTTATCTCTAACACCTTTTTTTTTTAAATTGGGGTTTATAAATTTTTTAGAAAGAAAAAAATACTAAAAAATAGCTTTGAAAAAGTATTTTTTTATTTATTTGTTTTGGTATAAATTTAATTGTCGAAAAGAAATAGGTTATTGGCCCAGATAAAAGTTTGCTATAAAAAAGCCGAGCATATTTGTAGCTATGCTGCTTTTCGCTTCTTTTATTCAGCGTCGTCACCCTAACTATGATAGACAAACACACACACATACACACACCCACACACAAACACACACACACACACACACACACACACAAACACACAAAAGTTCCATAATATTTGACATTTTCCAACTACACTTCAAAACTTGCCAACTAAAAAGCTAAATGTTCAAAAACTCAAATGCATTAATAGCAGCCTGAAGGGATATACCCCTACTTCGCCCGCTCGGGATGGCCCTGGTCGGCCCTGGTCGTAACAACCACTCTAACAGAAATGAAAATTATTTTTTTTGTTGTTGTTTATTTATTAACAGCTATTCGTAAAACTGTTTTCTGGAATGAAATAATTTAAATTAGTCTAATCCAAGCAACACTTATTCCACTTAGTGATTTCCAGAAAAAATTTTCATTTAGATTAGTTTTTACCAACAACTACGCTGAATAAAATATTATTATTTGTCAGTCGATATAGCAAGACTCCATTACAAATTAGGTTATTTGTCAGTCGATATAGCAACACTCCACCACGAATCAGGTTATTTGTCAGTCGCTGTAGCAACACTCCAACGCGAATCAGGCTATTTGTCAGTCAATATAGCGGCACTTCGTTGCGAATCAGGCAACTTGTCAGTCGATTTAGCAACACTCTACCACGAATCAGGCTACTTGTCAGTCGACATAGCAGCACGACGCTGCGAGTCAAGCTACTTCTCAGTCGATGTTTGCAACACTGTATAGTAAATCCGACAACACTCCACTATAAACCCGACAACATTTCGAAAATTTCGCCACTGTGCCTCTACCCTTGAGTTAAACCCATTGCAAGAGTTAACGATTCTCATTTCTTAACATATTTCCACCCATTCTAGGTTCAGTCTCTGAATCTACTTTGTTCCCATTAATGTAGGCACATTTCCCTTAACTACACCTATAGGTAAACTGTAAGACTGTCCTTTATAATCTACTTAAACAAGCCCTATTCTATCTGGTTTAACAAGTTCTTCTGTTTAAGTTTTTAAAACCAATTCAGACTTTCATTATTTCTTAGCCATTTATTATTTCCTTTTATTCTTCTATAAGCTGATACACCTATAACGGAAACAGCAGTCCTTGTGTAAACTTCCATTCCAACCTCTTTACCGTTAATTTTTACATTAATTATAACTGGTCTAGTCCCCCTTTCGTATTCCCCACCTTATGAATACAAGGCTAAAAAATCACTTTCATTTTTATTTGTATCAGCAGCGCTTCCTTCAGTTGAACCTTTACAAATTGCAATACGTCGCAGTCCTAATTTTTTCTCCTTCCTACAAATAATTTTTTTTTCTTTTTCTGATCGACATCTTCTTTTAAGGTGGCACACAACTGAAAAAAAGCAAGTTTTTTGAAAAAAATCAATTTTTAGATTTTTGGGTATTTTGATTCTATAACCATTCCTTAAACATATAAAAAAAAAAATAGTCTCAAAAATGATATAAAAGTTGGTTTAACATCATTTTAGTCAATGAGACTTGAAAATAAATTCCCTAACAACGCCTTAGCAACCATCAGTCATAGGAGTTTTTCTGAACTCAAAACAGTAAAACACCATCACAAACTTGGTTTTAATTTGTTATACGCAGACTCTTGTTAGTTTTACGTTTTAAAAGTCATAATTCAAAATTTTATTTTAGAGCATAAGTTTTTTTAGTTAATTTTTATGTTCTTATATATTTTTTTCTTATTTTTGCTTTTTTCTCAATATGTATTTTTTTAAACTTTGAAACACATTTTCTCATTAACAAAACAGAATTACATAATAAAATTTTCAGGATTTGTTTATCATAGTATAATACTTCATTTAACCCTCAGAAATTTCATAAAAATTTATAGAAAGTGAAATATTGATGTTTATAGTGCTGGATTTATTGATATTTCATATATATATTAGGTGATTTTGTTAGAAATGCAATATTTCATGAAATAATTTAAATCATAAAAATTCCCACGGTCAAGCAGGGTGAAATATGATTAGGAAGCTATGTTCAAAATTTTAGTTTCAGTTGTTAAGGTAAAATTAAGTTATTAGGTTTTGAAGATTTACTAAAAACACATGTTTTACAACACATTTTTGGCCATTATGGATAATAAAATTAATTAAAAAAAAAATTATCTGTTTTTTATTTTATTTTAATATAAATTAATTGTCATTAAAAAAAAAAAAAATCAAAATTTTGATTATTTACAAAAAAACTTGTTTTCAGTTGTGTGCCACCTTAATATGTCCGATTCTGCAACATGTGTTACACTTTAAGCTAAGAAAATGGCAACTGTTTGCCAGGTGATCTGTGTAGCCACATCGAAAACATTTTCTATTTTCATCAAACTTTTTCCAAGCATCCATCTTTTGTACTCCATCTTGTTCTATGGGGCTTTCTCTAGTACTATGGTTAGCCGTAGCATCTCTATATGCTGTTTCATAAGCTGTTGTTGTGTCTAGTGCTGTCTCTAATGTTAAATTTTTGATGGTTCATATATGTTGTTGGCCAGTAAATAATTTTCAAACCGTTCTATGTATTCAATTAAATCATCTGTTTTTAAATCAAAACTCAGTATATTAGCCAAATGTATCATTTTCACTTCGTCGCCATTTGTTATAAATGCGTTAAAAAAGAATACTATTATTTTAAGAATAAACTCAATTAAATTAACAAGAAATGCAAGAACTATATTCAGTGGTAACAACCAAAAAATATACGTCCATCCTAGTAACAATTTTTCTATAAGTCACACCCAGACTTATTTTGAGTAATTGCTGACACGTTGCACGTCCATATTTTGCCGGAAATCAGTTTACACAGTTATAACACACTGGGATCACGGAGGGCTTTTTATATGGGGCCCTTACGAGTTAAAGTGTTGAATTTGTTTGGGACCCATACAGGTAACCCAACGGGCGAACCCATAACGGCTCCGGATAGGAACCACGGCGAAAAACCAGCAAAATCCCGGAGGGCAAACTCATAGGATCTAGTTGACAACCTGTACGGGACCCACACGGTACCTGTATCGCAATGCTGTCTGGGAATATGATAATATTAATGTATTTATGTATGCTAGGAGTAAGCAACCCGCAATACGGATTATTAGTAATTAAATTATTAATAACAGTAAAAACACATTCAAAACTTGATATTT